CCACACACAGGACTGTTCCACACACAGGACTGTTCCACACACAGGACTGTTCCGCACACAGGACTGTTCCGCACACAGGACTGTTCCACACACAGGACTGTTCCACACACACGACTGTTCCACACACACGACTGTTCCACACACAGGACTGTTCCACACACATGACTGTTCCACACACAGGACTGTTCCACACACAGGACTGTTCCACACACAGGACTGTTCCACACACAGGACTGTTCCACACACATGACTGTTACACACACAGGACTGTTCCACACACAGGACTGTTCCACACACAGGACTGTTACACACACAGGACTGTTCCACACACACGACTGTTCCACACACAGGACTGTTCCACACACACGACTGTTCCACACACAGGACTGTTCCACACACAGGACTGTTCCACACACAGGACTGTTCCGCACACAGGACTGTTCCACACACAGGACTGTTACGCACACAGGACTGTTCCACACAGGACTGTTCCACACACAGGACTGTTCCACACACAGGACTGTTCCACACACAGGACTGTTCCACACACAGGACTGTTCCACACACACGACTGTTCCACACACACGACTGTTCCACACACAGGACTGTTCCACACACAGGACTGTTCCACACACAGGACTGTTCCACACACAGGACTGTTCCACACACAGGACTGTTCCGCACACAGGACTGTTCCACACACAGGACTGTTCCACACAGGACTGTTCCACACACAGGACTGTTCCACACACAGGACTGTTCCACACACAGGACTGTTCCACACACAGGACTGTTCCACACACGCGACTGTTCCACACACAGGACTGTTCCACACACACGACTGTTCCACACACAGGACTGTTCCACACACAGGACTGTTCCACACACAGGACTGTTCCGCACACAGGACTGTTCCACACACAGGACTGTTACGCACACAGGACTGTTCCACACACAGGACTGTTCCACACACAGGACTGTTCCACACACAGGACTGTTCCACACACAGGACTGTTCCACACACAGGACTGTTCCACACACAGGACTGTTCCACACACAGGACTGTTCCACACACACGACTGTTCCACACACAGGACTGTTCCACACACAGGACTGTTCCACACACAGGACTGTTCCACACACAGGACTGTTCCACACACAGGACTGTTCCACACACAGGACTGTTCCGCACACAGGACTGTTCCGCACACAGGACTGTTCCACACAGGACTGTTCCACACACAGGACTGTTCCACACACAGGACTGTTCCACACACAGGACTGTTCCACACACAGGACTGTTCCACACACAGGACTGTTACACACACAGGACTGTTACACACACAGGACTGTTCCACACACAGGACTGTTCCACACACAGGACTGTTACACACACAGGACTGTTCCACACACAGGACTGTTCCACACACAGGACTGTTCCACACACAGGACTGTTACACACACAGGACTGTTACACACACAGGACTGTTCCACACACAGGACTGTTCCACACACAGGACTGTTCCACACACAGGACTGTTCCACACACAGGACTGTTACACACACAGGACTGTTCCACACACAGGACTGTTCCACACACAGGACTGTTCCACACACAGGACTGTTACACACACAGGACTGTTACACACACAGGACTGTTCCACACACAGGACTGTTCCACACACAGGACTGTTACACACACAGGACTGTTCCACACACAGGACTGTTCCGCACACAGGACTGTTCCACACACAGGACTGTTACACACACAGGACTGTTCCACACACAGGACTGTTCCGCACACAGGACTGTTCCACACACAGGACTGTTACGCACACAGGACTGTTCCACACACAGGACTGTTCCACACACAGGACTGTTCCACACACAGGACTGTTCCACACACAGGACTGTTCCACACACAGGACTGTTCCACACACAGGACTGTTCCACACACAGGACTGTTCCACACACACGACTGTTCCACACACAGGACTGTTCCACACACAGGACTGTTCCACACACAGGACTGTTCCACACACAGGACTGTTCCACACACAGGACTGTTCCACACACAGGACTGTTCCGCACACAGGACTGTTCCGCACACAGGACTGTTCCACACAGGACTGTTCCACACACAGGACTGTTCCACACACAGGACTGTTCCACACACAGGACTGTTCCACACACAGGACTGTTACACACACAGGACTGTTACACACACAGGACTGTTACACACACAGGACTGTTCCACACACAGGACTGTTCCACACACAGGACTGTTACACACACAGGACTGTTCCACACACAGGACTGTTCCACACACAGGACTGTTCCACACACAGGACTGTTACACACACAGGACTGTTACACACACAGGACTGTTCCACACACAGGACTGTTCCACACACAGGACTGTTCCACACACAGGACTGTTCCACACACAGGACTGTTACACACACAGGACTGTTCCACACACAGGACTGTTCCACACACAGGACTGTTCCACACACAGGACTGTTCCACACACAGGACTGTTCCACACACAGGACTGTTCCACACACAGGACTGTTCCGCACACAGGACTGTTCCACACACAGGACTGTTCCGCACACAGGACTGTTCCACACACAGGACTGTTCCACACACAGGACATTTACACACACAGGACTGTTCCACACACAGGACTGTTCCACACACAGGACTGTTACACACACAGGACATTTACACACACAGGACTGTTCCACACACAGGACTGTTCCACACACAGGACTGTTCCACACACAGGACTGTTCCACACACAGGACTGTTCCACACACAGGACATTTACACACACAGGACTGTTCCACACACAGGACTGTTCCACACACAGGACTGTTACACACACAGGACTGTTACACACACAGGACTGTTCCACACACAGGACTGTTCCACACACAGGACTGTTCCACACACAGGACTGTTCCACACACAGGACTGTTCCACACACAGGACTGTTCCACACACAGGACTGTTCCGCACACAGGACTGTTCCGCACACAGGACTGTTCCACACACAGGACTGTTCCGCACACAGGACTGTTCCACACACACGACTGTTCCACACACACGACTGTTCCACACACAGGACTGTTACACACACAGGACTGTTACACACACAGGACTGTTCCACACACAGGACTGTTCCACACACAGGACTGTTCCACACACAGGACTGTTCCACACACAGGACTGTTCCACACACAGGACTGTTCCACACACAGGACTGTTCCGCACACAGGACTGTTCCACACACAGGACTGTTCCGCACACAGGACTGTTCCACACACAGGACTGTTCCACACACAGGACATTTACACACACAGGACTGTTCCACACACAGGACTGTTCCACACACAGGACTGTTACACACACAGGACATTTACACACACAGGACTGTTCCACACACAGGACTGTTCCACACACAGGACTGTTCCACACACAGGACTGTTCCACACACAGGACTGTTCCACACACAGGACATTTACACACACAGGACTGTTCCACACACAGGACTGTTCCACACACAGGACTGTTACACACACAGGACTGTTACACACACAGGACTGTTCCACACACAGGACTGTTCCACACACAGGACTGTTCCACACACAGGACTGTTCCACACACAGGACTGTTCCGCACACAGGACTGTTCCGCACACAGGACTGTTACACACACAGGACTGTTCCACACACAGGACTGTTCCACACACAGGACTGTTACACACACAGGACATTTACACACACAGGACTGTTCCACACACAGGACTGTTCCACACACAGGACTGTTCCACACACAGGACTGTTCCACACACAGGACTGTTCCACACACAGGACTGTTCCACACACAGGACTGTTCCGCACACAGGACTGTTCCGCACACAGGACTGTTCCGCACACAGGACTGTTCCACACACAGGACTGTTCCACACACAGGACTGTTCCACACACAGGACTGTTCCGCACACAGGACTGTTCCACACACAGGACTGTTCCACACACAGGACTGTTCCGCACACAGGACTGTTCCACACACATGACTGTTCCACACACAGGACTGTTCCACACACAGGACTGTTCCGCACACAGGACTGTTCCACACACAGGACTGTTCCACACACAGGACTGTTCCACACACAGGACTGTTCCGCACACAGGACTGTTCCACACACAGGACTGTTACACACACAGGACTGTTCCACACACAGGACTGTTCCACACACAGGACTGTTCCACACACAGGACTGTTACACACACAGGACATTTACACACACAGGACTGTTCCGCACACAGGACTGTTCCACACACAGGACTGTTCCACACACAGGACTGTTCCACACACAGGACTGTTCCACACACAGGACTGTTCCACACACAGGACTGTTCCACACACAGGACTGTTCCACACACAGGACTGTTCCACACACAGGACTGTTACACACACAGGACTGTTACACACACAGGACTGTTACACACACAGGACTGTTACACACACAGGACTGTTCCACACACAGGACTGTTCCACACACAGGACTGTTCCACACACAGGACTGTTCCACACACAGGACTGTTCCACACACAGGACTGTTCCACACACAGGACTGTTACACACACAGGACTGTTACACACACAGGACTGTTACACACACAGGACTGTTCCACACACAGGACTGTTCCACACACAGGACTGTTCCACACACAGGACTGTTCCACACACAGGACTGTGGCATAAACTGCTAAGACTAGTGTTACATGTTGGTCATCTCATCTCAATCAAGTCAGTTATATAAAAACGTAGACTAGTCTAATTTGGCACTGAAAAGTAAGACTGTAAGTCCCTAACTAACAGCTGGTTGGTCACACTCTTAACATAATGACTGTGTTTATGCAACTAGCCCCAGGCCTATGTATGTTTTCAGAGCTGTAAATTTTTTTGATTTGTATGTTGTTTTTTCAGATTGGAATCGTGCCGCTTTTCTCCGGACGGTTCTGCCGTCTCAGCTGTAGAGGAATTGACCACGTCCAGAAGCTCCCCGTCATCTGGTCGGGATCTGGGGTTCTGGTGTCCGCTGCATCTGAAGACTCGGACCGGTCAGGCCGGCTCTTTTCTCGGGGCTCAAGACTGCGCTCCGCCCTGCGACAACATGTTCCTGAAACCACACGAGGTTCAATTGGCGAAGACCTTCATCGGCGTGTGTTCCGCCGTGTGCTTGTGTGCAACTCTCTTCACATCTCTCACATTCCTCATCGATGTCCAGCGGTTCCGCTACCCTGAACGGCCCATCATCTTCTACTCCGTCTGCTACACTTGTGTCTCTCTGGTGTATTTCATTGGTTTTCTGCTGGATACGGAGGCGGCGTGCGTGGAGCCGAGTGTGCCGGGCCGCGCGGCTACGGTGGTGCTAGGAGCCCAGAGCCGCGGCTGCACGCTGCTCTTCATGCTGCTCTACTTCTGCTCCACCGCAGGGATGGTGTGGTGGGTCATCCTCACCATCACATGGTTTCTGGCCGCAGGGCCCAAGTGGAGCTGCGAGGCCATCGAGAAGAAGGCGGTGTGGTTCCACGCGGTGGCCTGGGGTCTCCCCGGAGCGCTAACAGTTTCGCTGCTAGCACTTGGGAAGGTGGAGGGAGACGGCGTGAGCGGCGTGTGCTTCGTCGGCCTGTACGATCTGGCAGCGCTACGCTGGTTCGTCGTGGCACCGCTAGCCCTCGGGGTTCTGGTCGGCCTGTCGCTGCTGCTCGCCGGCATCGTGTCTCTGAACCACGTGCGGCAGGTGATCCAGCACGACGAGCGCAACCAGGAGAAGCTGAAGAAGTTCATGATCCGCATCGGCGTGTTCAGTGGCCTGTACCTGCTGCCGCTGCTGGCGCTGCTCGGCTGCTACCTGTACGAACAAGCCCAGCGCGAGTCCTGGGAGAACAGCTGGATCCGCCGGCACTGCCAGGAGTTCAGCATCCCCTGCTCCCGCCGCGTGAGACTCCTTTACCCTTACCTTATCCCTGACCCCTAACCCTGACCCTATCTCTGACCCCTAACCCTATCCCTGACCCTTAACCCTGACCCTATCCCTGACCCTTAACCCTGACCCCTAACCCTGACCCTATCCCTGACCCCTGACCCTATCTCTGACCCCTAACCCTAACCCTATCTCTGACCCCTAACCCTGACCCTATCTCTGACCCCTAACCCTGACCCTATCTCTGACCCCTAACCCTGACCCTATCCCTGACCCCTAACCCTATCCCTGACCCCTGACCCTATCTCTGACCCCTAACCCTGACCCTATCCCTGACCCCTAACCCTGACCCTATCTCTGACCCCTAACCCTGACCCTATCCCTCTGGCACAGTACCAGCGCCTGTAGTCTCTCACTGACCTGCTGTTTGGTTTGTTGTAGAGTGTGGATGTGGAGCGGCCTGAGCTCTCCCTGTTCCTCATCAAGTATCTGATGACGCTGGTGGTGGGAATATCAGCCGTGTTCTGGGTCAGCAGTAAGAAGACCTGCTGGGAGTGGGCCTCATTCTTCAAGAGAACGCGCAAGAAAGAGTGAGGACGCTCTCTCTAACCCTAATGCCGAGTTCACACCGCATGATAACTCGTCAGATAACTGTTGTTTCCACACTGCAGGAGTATCTGTGGCAGCGTTCAGTCTCACTGCATGGCTTACAAAGCGAAGAATCACCAACACTGCCTGGTCCGCAAACTATGTTTCACAACCAAACACACGCGAGAAGTGATAAGGAAATAACACAAGATCACGCGTGCGTGGGACTGGAATTGTTATTAAAAATGATAGCCTGCAAGAAGCCTGTGATGATTTGCAGCGAAAAGGAGTAAAAGAAAAATTATGGCATTCGATTATGAAGGAAATGGTGGGGGAGACGCGGGGAGCAGGACTGTGTTCACACTTTCAATTTTGAATCGCCGACTCATCAGCGAGTCTCTCAGATTGCGTCTTTGATAACTCACACTGTGTGATTGTCATTCACGTGAACGAGAATCGATTTGCCTCCGATTTCAGGCATTTGTTGCGATTTGGCAAAATCTGTCAGCGAGTGAAAATCGGAGTTAAAATCGTGCAGTGTGGACTCGGCATAACTCGGCAAATCTGTCATTTTTTCCACTTCCAGCAGCACCTGGTCTGACTAGTGTGTGCGTGTGTGAAACCATATTTATGTGTGTGTGTGTGTGTGTGTGTGTGTGCTTCAGCCCCATCAGCGAGAGCCGGCGTGTCCTGCAGGAGTCCTGCGAGTTCTTCCTCAAGCACAACAGCCGTGTTCAACAGCACAAGTCCAAACACTACAAGTCCTCCTCACACAAGCTCAAGGTCGTGTCCAAGTCCACGGGCACCAGCACAGGCATGCACACACCCGTCACCGGTAACCATGACAACACGCCTGTCACCGGTAACCATGACAACACACCCGTCTCCACGGCGATCCACAACCACAGTGTGTGTGATGCGCCTGGTTCCTCCGAACGCATCGGGTCGATGGAGAGACGCAGTAGAGCCGACGCTGAAAGCGCACACAGGTTCATGTTTTATATTATGGGGATTATTTGAATTTACTTTGTTTAGATGATACAACCTTTCCACTGGGAACGTCAGTACTAACAATTCATTTAATCTAATGACTGAACCGAAGTATTAAAATGAAAGCAGATGCATCTGTTCACTGTTTTGTTTGTTACCATCATCTGCATTCAAATCAAGGCTGTATTACTTGAGTTCAGTGTTAGACTAGTGTATTCATGGCCATCTCTTTAACTCTGAGAGCAGTCCTGGCTTGATGTAACTCCATCCACAGACACTCTTACTTTCATCCACACGTAAGAGCGGCGTGGTCATGTGTTCACTGAATGTGTCTGGGTTCCCGTGTCTTTCAGCCTGTAATGCTGCTGGATAATGCAAACTGGGAGAGCTTACCATATTACTTTAATGTATTGTCGTAACCAGAAACACGCTGGTTTGTAGCTCTAATAGTTTTACGGTTTACTGCACTTTATTCTTCTAGTTATTCCCTGTAGTGGCTAATGAATCAGAAGTCTCACACATTCACAGAATATGGCTTGCTTCTGCGTCGCAAAATAAGGTGTAGATGGAGGGATTTTTATAAGTGCTTTGACAAAAATACAAGCTTGACATTTCAGAATTTCCCCCTACAGCTTTCCAGACAGATAGATGAACTTGTTGAACCTGCAAAATTCCTTTCATTCGTCAGATCTCAACAGATGTTTAGTTTTTCCTTCTGCTTTTTAACACCTACTTTTATTGCGTTTTGAAGGTTGACTCCCAAAGATGAAGTGGAGGCTGGCCAGAGCTCCGCCCACTGCAGCAACAGCCAATGAGAGCTCAGGCAGATACTTCTGGCTCCGCCCCCCACAAGCTCTGTGCTTTTCATTATTGATGTCCACAGCACTGGAATGTGTTTTCGAGGCTGTAATGTTCACGCAGCCGATGCTTCTCACAGGATCCGTCTCGACTGACAGTTTTATGAGTTTGTCTGTTGTGTTGTTGATTTTTGCAGGATTGCACATTCGTAACACTTCTCTAAGTCATTCATCACTGGAAAAGTCTTAACACTGACACTTCTGACCTGAATCTTTAAACAAATGCAACAGATAAGATTCACTCTTAAAGCAGAATTTCTACAGAATTTGCACTAGTGCTCTGACTGTACGCCAAAGACAAAATACAGCAATACTGTTTACTCGTATGAACTTTCTCTGCCTTAAAGTAAAACTTAGTCTTCAAATTATATTTATGAAGATTAACAGTTATATCTTAGCTTTTCTTTTTACATAGCTTTTCTAAAATGTATTTGTAATATGTATGATCTAGACCTTAGTCCGTGTTTTTGTCAGGAATGAAAGTGAGGCTGTGAGAGACTGAAGGACTGTCTAACAACATGCTGACAAACATCTTTAACTAAATCTGTAGACAAACACTCCATAAAACATTTAAGGTTATGTGATCTACAGTAGTACCTTTATACACTACTTTTCTATTGTAAAGACTTTAGTCGTTTTCATCTGTCCGATTCAATATGACTAAGGTTTATTGATGTTCATTATTATGCCAGTTGTTTAGGGTTTTTTGCACCTTGTATAGTCACAAAAATACTTTTAAAGACTCATATCCTACACGATCCCAATGTACAGTAAATAAAACATCGGGTGGAGGAGAGAATAGGTCACTTGATAGATTTGGATTATCATTGTTTTAATAATCGCAATTGTGTGATGAATCCTTCAGATGAATTTCTGTCATATATTTTACTATAATATGTTCATAGCAAAAACTTTATCTTATCAAAATAAAGTCCGTAAAAAAGCGTCAATGCAAAGCTTTTTAACCCGTGGTCTTTATTGCTCACATCCTGATCTTTGTTTATGACTGTTAAAAATATCAAAACTATAGATTGTTTTGATGACACAATGTACATTACTGTTGAATATCATTGTTCTTAGGAATAATCACCCAAAATACAAATTCTTCCTCATGTTGTTCTAAACCTGAATGACTTCCTTCACTGAAGGATATGTTATTAGAGTCTCTCAGTCGAAACCAAAGGAGATCACAGTGTCAGACTCTTTTTTTGTTTTGTTTGTAACTAACCCTTGAACTAAACATTACAGTTCGGCTGTACCAGTTCTACGAATGTTTAAGATTTCAACTCCGTTTACAGGGTCCTACAAATTCCACACACAAATCACAATGACCAAATAATGTAATAATCAAGGTTATGATTAATAACTAATGGCTAGATGGCTAGGACTGTGTGTAGATCTGTAGCGTTCATCTGTAATAAGGAACTAGATGATGTGAAAACACCATGGGATTCACACACATTCAATTTAAATAATAACATCTCATTTCAATGAATAAACATTACACAACCAGTTAGTCTCAAAATGAAAGCATCATGTAAATGGTTGTTTATTTAAAGTCAGGAATTTTCCCTGCTTATTAAAAGTTATGTTCGTCTTCATTGAAACTGAAAACATGACATTGAAAACATCAGATCAGCACATGGAGAGACACATTGAAATATTACAAATGTCAAAGTGCTCATTCTGAAATCTGAATATTTATGTTTTTGAGGTATGCATAAACAACTTAATTCACCTTGTGTGTGTGTGTGTGTGTGTGTGTGTGTGTGTGAACATGTTTCAACTGTTTTTAGAAATAGTCAATATACTTACTGAATGTTGGTTCAATTAACATTTAATATTCTGCACATAATCCCCCCCAAAAAATGTATTTTCAATATTGCCTGGATAATTACATACATATAAATATCACTTTACCTGCAAAAACTGACCATAAACATTGTTAATTTAGAGACACTTGACATTTTTCCTAAAAACGAACCCTATCTGTCTGATACACAACAGATGATTTCAGGTCATTAATCCTCAGTCGGTCAGTGATGTTTGGGAATCACAGTCCAGACGCTCAAACAAATCATGCTGACCGTTTAGAACTCTATGAGCAACTAGTCATATATATATATATATATATGTGACGGGATAAAAAATTATAGGTTGCGAGTTCTTTAAATAAATCCTGCAATAATGGGATTGCGTTTCCTATTGGTGGCGCTATAGGCCACTGTGTTCGTATGATCTGCAGCAGAGCTAAAGAGAACTGCTGTGGGTGAGTCGTTTCTGTGGTCGCTCCACACTAAAAGCTAAAAATATATAATTTCATATCAAATGTTTGACACTTTATAAAAGGATTGTTCACAGTAGACACTGATTGATTTGTAGAGAGTGTTTTCTGTTTATATTGATGGGTATTTTTATCGTTTTGTCCGTTTGGATGCACTCTACGATCTTTCTAACTGCGTCATTTTCCATGTGCTTTCTAACGAGGTGAAATGTATTTTTAATAGGTGGAGTTTAAACCGTACGACTTACGATCTTCTTTTCTCTTCACTGCTCTGTGTGCAGGTAAATGTTTTAATCATATAGTGTTTAAGAATTTACTCTGTTCATGTAGTTGTATTTTCTGTATTGTTAAGAAATATTTGGTACGAACTGTGTTTTATAAGCCACTTAATTCATGGTTTTACTAAAAATACCAGATGTTATTTCCATTAATTTCATACATTTAAGAGTTACATAAAATGGATGATGTAAGCTGTGTAATCAGTTTTATACGATCACAAACCAAAAAGTTAAGAAAGACAAGACAACATTGAATTGTTTACAAAATATGTAATTTTTCTGGAAGGATTATTACATTTTCAGATTTGTTTTATTTTTGTTTACTGTTTTCAGTACAATATAATGTGAATGAGTAATGTTTACTGTGATATTGAGTGGAGCAGAGCTAAAGAGAACTGCTGTGGGTGGAGTTTAAACCGTACGACTTACGATCTTCTTTTCTCTTCACTGCTCTGTGTGCAGTGTGCAGGAAATAAAGCCTGATATCATCCACAATTCGTGTCTGTGTGCTAATGAAGGGTGGGACAAACCGGGTCGCGAAAGAGAAAACAAAACCCAAAGGTCACATTGGTGCCGTGACTCCGGATCTTCAGTCGAGGTGGTCGAAGATCATCTGAACATCGGACCGGCGGGCCTGTCTTCATTCTTCATTGCACAGGACTTTCAGCTAAGCTTTACAGTTAAAAAAAAAAAAAACACTGGAAAGAGACTCTTGCATAGACACTTTGATGTGGTTTGATTTTATTTAATTCAGGTATCACTGCATTTTTTGAATATTCTGTGGAAATATATAATTTTTTTCTTTTCGCACTTTTATGATCTTCTTACTTGATTATGGATCACACAAGGGTAACTGGATCTCGATATATGGGAACTCCAGTTAGTGTTGGTCGAGGGAGAGGTCTGTTAGCAACACCAATTCCTTTTCCAGACATTAGCAATGGTGTGAGGTTAGGAGCTAATGTGAGTCCTGCTCAAAGTGCTTATGAGAACACTAATCGTGTAAATTGTAGCAGTTCTGAAAGTACGCAGCCAATTAGCACATCAACTCCAGTCCTTACTAGCGACATGAGTCAGATGGGTAGCATAGTACAGCAAGTAGGCCTGCAACTGGCGGACAGTATTCTTGAACATTTGAATTTGCGCATTCAGACTGATGTTACATCTAGGCATACTCATAATAGCCACGATGGTAGATACATGACTGAGCAAAGCTCCACATCGAGTGCGTCGCAGATTCAAGTAGTACGCCAGAGGGAAGTTAAAGATCCTCCAATCTTCAGAGGCAACGCATCAGACACGGTTACACTTGATGAGTGGGTGGAGCTCATGAAAAATTTCATAAGGAAGGGACTTCTGCCTACTGAGGAGCAGGGTGAGGAAATTTTGATTCACTTGAGAGGCAAAGCCAAGGATGTTGTTAAAGTGGGGATGCTGTCTAGTGGTTTGAATGTCAGTACAGATCCTGATGCAATCTACACCATTTTACGGAAGCATTTCAGTTGCCAGCAGTATTCTCCTATCCCATTGCAAGACTTTTACACTACTCTCCCAGAACCTCAAGAAGATCCCTTTGACTACTGGTTGCGTCTGAACCGTACTGCTGACATCACAGCTGAGTGTCTAAGACAGCAGGGTAAGGTACTGGACAATCAATTGATTGAGGTCACACGTATGTTCATTCGAAATTGTCCAAATTCAGATCTAGCGCTGACATTTCGTTCAAAAACCATTGACAAATGGACGGCTTATGAAGTACAAGAGATCCTAAACGAGTATCATTCAGAGAAAAGTCTCAGAGTCACAGGACAAGGAAATAAGCCGACTGGATGTGAGCAGAAAGTTTCTGTGAATGAGATGAGGGTAAGTCCTGGCCCCTGCCCAGTGACAACTGACAAGGATTCCCTTCAGTCCAAACAGTCCGAAAATATGGCTTTGGAAAAGGTGATCGATATGCTGGAAAGAGTTCTGATGAGTAATAGTGGGAATGCACAGGTCAGCAAGGATTACAGGAAGAGAAACAGCATGTCTAGAATTCCAGGCTTGAATGAGACGCCATGCTTGGTGTGCAAGGACACCTCACATTCTGCTTTTACTCACTTTTTAAAGATTTACTTTTTGTAAAGACAACAGGCTCTGTTTCCAGTGTTTTTCACCTAACCATCCCAGAAATCGGTGCCCGAAGGAAAGGAAGACTACTTCCTCAGGCAACCAACAGTCAAACTAGATGATCTACGTGTGAGGGAGGATCACGTAGATCTTGAGAGTGAAGCTCCCATTTCCAGTTTTGATGATGTGAGGGATCGTGAGTCTTTATGTGACATGTTTAGTGATGTACCTTCGGACAAAACAGTCATCTTTCAGGGTGTTCAGAGAGTTCCAAGAGCTGATAGCTTGTTCTACACTTCCGTTTCAGTTGAGACTGACCTCATTCTTAAAGCTTTAATTGACAGTGGATCAATGGCGTGTACTCTTAGTGAGTCTGCTGAAGAACGGTTGTTGAGAAGTAACCCAGACTTGACAAGCCAGTCAGCACAAGATATTGTCATTGTTGGTTGTGGTGGCCATC